GGAGGCCATTGGGACGACCATCTACCCCTGATAGAGTTTGCCTACAACAACAGTTACCAAGCAAGCATCGGCATGGCCCCATACGAGGCGCTATACGGGCGTCCGTGCAGGTCACCGATTTGTTGGGAGGAAGTGGGCGATAGAAGATTGTTTGGCCCGGATTTGGTGGAAGAAACCACGTCCAAGATAGTTAAGATCAAGAAGAACATCCAGACAGCTCAGAGTAGGCAGAAGAGCTATGCTGATACCCGGAGGAGAGACCTGGCCTTTGAGAAAGGTGACCGGGTGTTTCTTAAAGTCACCCCCTTCAAGGGAATTAGTAGGTTCGGCAGAAGGGGAAAATTAAACCCCAGATACATTGGACCCTTTGAATCTTAGACAAGATTGGTAGCACTGCTACAGACTTGCACTGCCCCTGAGCTCTCCCGGGTTCACAATGTGTTTCATGTATCTATGCTGCGCAAGTACAATCCGGACCCTTCTCATGTCGTGGCTCATGAACCGCTTTCACTCCGAGAGGACTTGTCTTATGAAGAAGTACCGGTCAGTATCACGGACCGAGAAAGCAGAATACTCCGTAACCGGGAAATATCATTTGTAAAAGTCTTGTGGCAGAACCACACGCCTAGGGAGGCGACTTGGGAGCTGGAATCAGAATTTAGGGCCCAATATCCTCATCTGTTTGATCAAGAGTAATGAGGCAAATTTGGGGACCAAATTTCTTTATGGGGGGGAGAGTTGTAGCACCCGGAAAGGAGGAAAAAAAAAAAAAAAAGGGGGGCCACGTCAGCAGGCCCGGTCAGCAGTCCCGGCCAACCGGGGCCTGCCACGTGGCAAGACCGCGTCACTCCGAAAGGAGCCATGTTGGCGATCCGCGTGGGTGCGATCCGACGGCCCAGATCAATCGCGCGATCGGACGGCCCAGATTCAATCGCACGGACGGCCCAGATTCAATCAAAAACGAACGGCCCAGATTAAAACGAAATTAACGGCTGTGATCAAAAGGCAAGGGGTTATAAATAGAACCCCCACACCAGACCACAAACCCTAGCCGCCCGCCGCTCGCCGGAGAAGACGAACCAGAGGCCGACCGCCGCCACCCGCCGCCGCACCGGAGAAATTTCCGACCGCCGATCGAGGTAAATTTCATACCCCCGACTCGTTTTTCTCCGCTGATTCCTCCTATGGCCAAATTGAAGCCGAAATCCCGGCCAAACGGCCGGAATACGTGGCCGAAACCCAGCGGCGCCGCCGCGCCCCTCTCAGTTTTTTGCCTCCGACGAGGTCCTTCCCGGCCTCCGTTCGATGCAATTTTTATATCACCGTGATCACCATTCTTTTCTCTACAGGTTGACCGAAGCCGAATCACCAAAACACGAACCTCGCCGGAGAGCCGCCGTACCCGAGAGCGCCGCCGCCGGTAAGCTCCGCTTTTCCGTGATTTTTGGCCCCCCGAGGGCCCTAGGGTTGTTTTCTCACAAGGACCAATGCGAGTGTGGCCGAATTCGGCCGAAAACGGCCGAAAACAGCCAACCCGAGGCGACTCGCCGCTGCCAGCGGCGGCGCCGTCGCCGGAGCACGGCGGAGCCGCCGTGCCAGAGTTGCGATTTGGTCCGAAAGGGGCCCTGGGCCTAATTTGGATTTTTTTGGAACACGTGCAGGTACTGTTAGTGTGTTTCAGTTCCCCGGGAAAAATTCAGGGAAAATTAGGGACGGCCTGCAGGCGCACTGTGAATCGTATTCGGATCCCGAAAACAAGTAAGGACCCCTCACCCTATTTCCTATCACAGTATTAAAGTTCAAAATGATAAAACGGTATTTCTTGAATTAACGAATGTGTGAAATTGCTTAAGGTGGCTAATGGAGCCTGAGTCTAGTGTGATTGGTGATTTACTGTTATTTGGCCTGTTTACAGCTTTAAATGCAAAATGAGGTTTGATGTGTTCATTTTACAGATTTGTGTGCATATACTACGTTTTTATTAATCATGGGTTGAATGACTGAAAAACTGATACTGTATGTTGTCTGTTTGGCATGAATTACTGTTTTGCTTGTTTGTATGTGAATTGATGATGCTGACTGAGGAAAAGGAAAATGAAAGATTGTGTAGACTGATAATTGTATTATGGGGGTCAGCCTGACTAGATATCCTGGGAGATGGTGGACGGACCGGGTCCGTAGGGAACCCTACCGGGATTGTGGTCTCACATGCCGGACGGGGTATGGAGATCTTATGGTTTTGGCGCCCATACCGGACGGGGTATGGGGACGGCCCATTTCACCCTCATACCGGACGGGGTATTGAGGTTCATGGTTTTGGCGCCCATACCGGACGGGGTATGGGGACGGCCCTAGAAACTGATTATGAATGTTAAAGGTTAACGGGTAGTGGAACCCCTATGGACCCCCACGGATACTAGTAGGCTGGTAAATGAGAAAAAGATATGTTGTACAATGATTGAATTACAAGAGGCGTGATAAGTGTTATGTTTTACAGCTTATATTATTCAATGATTATGATAATGTTATTGTTTTTCTTATATTGTTTTCATAAATTCCACCGAGGTAAGTGGATGGTAAAGGTTTTCATGTTAATAAACGAGTTTGTTGTAAATTATGCTCCATTGGTCTTTTTGTGTTTTTCTACCCACCTTTACCTCCGTGACGGTTAGATATCGTGATGTTCTTACTGGGCTAGTGTAGCTCACTCCTTATTTAACCATTTCAGATCAGGAAGACATGGTTCCCGAGCCCGTTCCGCAGGAGGACGACGAAGGAGATGCCTAGAGACTCTGTAGTTATACTCATAGTTTTATTTTCGAGTTTCTCTCTTAGTTAGTTTAATCTTTTATATTTTAAGTACGTTTTTGGTTTTTCGTGTAAGGGACGTTAACTGAAATTTTGATCTCACTTCCGCATTTGATATATTTAAATACTCATTTCATTTTAATATTTCCGGAGCCGTTACAACACACACGTAACTCTTTTTTATATAGATTAATCTTATTTATAGTTCGCACTACTTATCATTATAACACTTACATATTTATTATAATATTAATATTTTTTTAAATAATATAATTCAAACGACATGACATTTTATCCGAATTTAATATTTAAAATATTTTATTTTAATTAAAATATTAATTAAGACGACTCTCGAAAAATATTATTTTATTTATTATTATTATTATTTAGTTGCTAAATTTATCCAAACTTAATTAGTCTATTTTCCACAAACACGAAGACAAGTATGCCGGGAATCTGTTACGTACTGCCAAAAACAGATTAAGTAGATTACGACAACCAATGAAAACAGTCCACGTCAGAAGACGACACAATCATATCAGAAACTAGTTGGCCGGTACGTGAAGCTACGCGCAAGAGTGGGCGCGTGGTAATTGTGTGAGTACTTATTCGCTAAACGGTTGCGTTTCAAATTTTAATAGCTTTGGGGAATAAAATAAATATTATAATATAAAATAATGATATGAAGGTTTGGTCCTCTCTCTCCATCATTACTTCTCATGTATGGAAATTGAAAGCTACACATGATTGAATCAAATTGATTATTTTAAGAAATTTGGACTATACTTATAATTGTATGATGAATAATTGAAATTTTTGTTTTTAATAATGAATAAATTAATTCCAAATAGTTTATTTCTATATGGGTTAATTCTTTTATATCATTCATGTATAAATTTTAAGTCTCACATATATATATATATATATATATACTTGTATGATTCAAGTATATCGTATTTTTTTTTTTTTTAAATTCGATTGATGAGAGATAAAAATTGATCAAATTTTATTGAGTCAGACTCACAGTAATCGTTTATAAAATAATTTTGATTATTAAATAATTAAACAGTTAAAAATAATTTATTTATCATATTTAATTGATATTTATAAAATTTACTATTTCTTGTTAAAAAAATAATTTGTTTATTATTTTGTAAAATTTATACTATTATTGTTGAAGGAAATGAAAATAAGGAGAATATTAAGGGAAATAAAATATAATATCATAATCAATTTTTTGTGAGTGAAAAGAAAATCAAATAATAATAATTATAATTTTTGGTGAATTTTTTAGAGATATAATTATCATAATAATATAAAAAAAAGATTAAAAAGCTCTTGAGAACTTTTAGCACTGAAAACTCTTAAACTTCAAAATTCTAAAAACCCTAATTTGTTTCTCTCTCATTTCTTCTTCTTTTTCTCCACAAACAAACAAGATTAAAGTAGGGAGAAGTCTCAACTCTTTTCGAAAGAGAGGAAGATAAAGAGGAGGGGAAAAACAAAGGTGGAAAAAGGGGGAAAAAAAGCTTTTTGCTAACTCGTTTAATTCTTGAATTTCTTTTAGTACAACGTAATATATAGAAAACTCGCACAAAGTAATAATCAAGACCGATTCTTCAACGTGGAACAAGAGAGAATCGAGATACTTGTTATACGAGTTTTTACCATCGGTCCGATACTTTTCGTATGATTCCCAAACGAAGTTATCTTCTGGTTTAACAATTATGAATGAATAAGAATCCACCCAATTCAGATCAAAACCCAACAACTATGATAGAATGAATCAAACCCAACAATCAGGATAGAATATGCTATTTGATTCATTATGGTTTAGAGCTGGAACTGAGTTGTTCAAGAAATTCAAACCAAGTTTTTGCACCCAGTAATGCAAAAGGTCAGCCAGGAGATAGTCACTGCAATTCCACAAATTCTCTAATTTGTTATGGAATATACATATATCTATGATGTATATATATACATACATACCTACGCATAACCACAGAAGGGGAAACAGAGGGAGAGACTTCTATTTACATGTAACTCTTATACAAGTTTTTCAATGCTATCAAAACAAAGAAGTTTCTTCTCAAGCTGTTAAATCACTAGTATATCATATCATTGCTCCTTCTGTCTTCCACTAGTTGAAGTTATATGTTGTGAGTATTAGAGTTATACTAAGGCAGAAACAAGAAGATTTAGAGGTCTGGGAACTTACGAAAGAGCTCGATTTATTCACCTGGAGATGCTGGTGACACCAGAGTGTCGGCTTTATCGAGCAGCTGTCTTTCACTTGTATGTATTGTATTGGCATTAGCTTGACAATCTAGGATTACGGGTTGGCAGTTATCTTCCCATGAAACAAATCCATCAATGTTGGCTTCAAGTGATGACTCTGCATTTTGATGGAGACATGGTAATTGGTCTGGCACTGTGAGGAGATAGCCCCACCATTCGTAGCCAGCT